CTCTATGGGGTCAGCCAGCAGATAATTGTCGTGAGTTGTGATTGTTAAGTGATGCGTTGTTGAATGGAGCTGTGTGTGATTTGATTCGGTGTGATGTGATGTGATGTGACGTTTTGTATTTTGCTGTTGTGTTTTTTGAGAAGGGTGTTTGCGAGTTGTTGATTGTAATGTGTGTGTGTGTGTGATTGGTGTGATTGTTGATGGTTGGTGGAGAGTGTTTCTGTGACGGCGATGATGATTATTTGTGTAAGTAGTTGTGGTGATGAGTTTCCCTTGGCTGTCAGAATGAGTTCTGTTGAAACATTCGACATATGTGACTGAGATGGTGTTAATTTACTGTGTAATAGTAGTGACTAGCGGTGATTTTGTGATCTTGTGGTACAATGTGAAATCAGTTTAGTTTTGTATTTGTGTTTTAGGTGTTGAGGTTATCTTTGTTTTTGTTCGGCTGTTTTACTGGAAGTTCGATATTAGCTGTTATCTTGATGTGTTCGTTTCCTGTGGCTGTTGTGTTCGCGGACGCTGTATATATTCTCTGGAGTATATGTTACCGTTTGTTGTACGTCGTCATGTTAATGTGAATGATTTGAATTCACGAAATGTTATTCTTTGTATGTCGGAACCTGGTTGTCGTCCAAATTTTGGAGCTGTTGTGGTATGGAGATTCTATCCGATGGGCATAGGTCTTCCATGGTTAGGACTTTTTAATCTTGCGTGATTGTATTATGCATCGTCTCTTGTATGAGCATACGAGATTCTATTAAAATCAATAATTTGATTTCACCTCGTCAAGATAAAGAAGTAGTTCGACTTTCCGTGTCGCAGGTAACGGAGACGCTGCTCTCCGGGGTCAAATAATATTTTTATATCTCATTCCAATTCGATACTACCTGATAGTAAATATGGTTTAGGCCAGTGAGGTAATGATTTTGCGCTACAGTCTGAGGATTGATATTTTTGGATTCAGAGTACAATCAAATGTTCTTAACTTTGAGAAAGCATACAATGGGATTTTCGAAGGGTGGTTAGGAAACCTGAGAACACTTAGTTGTTTCATCTTTCCAAACGTTGCCTTTTGTGTCCTCATTATTGGTCAATGAACTTATAGGAAACCCACATGAAGTGATAAGTACCCCATGTTATATATGGACCGATCAGACAGTATTTCTTATATTTTCGCGAGAAAAATTCATCATTTCATATAGCTACAAAGGATATTTGAAATAAAACTAATGTCAGTTTGTGATGAAAACCATAATCTTAACCTTAACTGAGAATAATTTAGGGACCTTGTTAGAGTTACAAGCTGGGTAATCTGTGGAAGATTATAGTGAATTCATAAGATATATAAAGTCAGTTTCCACTTTGTAACATTTCGCCACTGACTACTCGTTGGTGGAAGCTGTTTAATGATTGATGGAGACCCAGAAAAAAATTATTCATGATTGTTTAGAACCTTATCTACTCTTAAACAATCTTTTTTACGAAGAATTATTATTTCAAACAAACAAAAAACAGAACAATCATCGAAAAGATACGACATGAAAATTGAACTGGAGGGAGGCAGGTTTAGCGTAAATTTCACTACAACAGCATGAAATAAAACAGAATGCATTCTTTTCTATATTTTTTAATGATGTTATGATTTTTAGGTGAAATTGATAAGTGTCAAACTTCCATACTTTGTGTGTTTGAAATACTTAATGTAATTTTGTATGGATAAAGAAAAACAAACACCAATTAATTGAGTTGACAAATGCAAATGCACTCGTGTAGTCGTTTTCAAGTGAACTAATGAGAGAATAATTTATTTTTAAAAAAAAGAAGACAGACTTGATGCCAAACGTTAAGTGATAATGAATTGTAGTAGAATAGTTTACCAATATAATGAACAATAATTGTTGTTGCAATGATCAATATTTTTTATGATTATTGTAAGTGTTATGAATAGATTATACTCTAATTTACAAGATACATCGATCAGGCAACACTGATAACTTCAAAATTATCTAACTACTTTAAACAATAAATAAAACAAATAATCCATTGAAACAGTCGGAAAGATTTTTCTAGTTTTGAAATATTCTACTCATTGTTCATGAAGAATCATACAGTTTGATAGTGATGCGGAGGAATTCACATACAACAATCATATGTATGTATATATGAGAGATATATTATATAAATATAATATATATATATAAGTTTATCAGAAAATATATTGTACTCCCTGATATTCTATGTGTGTTTTAAACAATTGTTTTGATAATGATCAATCGAAATTGAACAAGCATGCACATTGTGTATTAATATAGTGTAGAAAAACAAATGAAAGACTCAGAAGTAAAAACACACATGTTTTCAACAAAAATATCGCTGATGTATAATGAATGACACTTAAGTTGAACATTGATATAATCTTTTTTATTTAATAGAAATGATATTTGCGAAACAAACAATGAGTTGAATGGAATAAATGAAGAAAATAATTTAGAATTAACTGACAACGAAACATTTGAATGAAATGTAAACATTGCACACAAATAATGAGAAATATTTCATTGATCAACAAGTGAATAAGGAATAAAAACGAAAATATTCCGAGGTATTTACACACATACACCTAAACACAACAAAATGAGAGTAAAACAAACCAAACGAAATAAACACACAAGTAAAAAGTAACTGGTGTCATGAATTTAAGTTGAAATTCTTTTCGAAATAGGTGATCAATGTTCAACAAATTGCTCTGTTTATTTGTTTTAACGAAATTCAGTATTTTCGTTTTTTTTCCAATTCATAAATAATGAAATGTTGAAGACAAATACATATAAAATAGGTGAGAAAGATGAAGAAATTGAGAAAAACCGGGATAATCATAAAATGTATAACTATTTGGGAAAAAATTGCTATTTTTTTAATAGTTTACTTTTTTGAGTCGAATGAAATTGAATGATGATCGAACGTGTTAACAAGCAAATTTCTGTATGGATTTTATTGAAAAGTAAGAGTAATTTCAAGGGAGAAACATTTTTCCAAAATGCTTTGTTGTTTTAATGTATTTACTTGGTGATTTCACTTTTTTTTTTCTTAATCCGATGAATGAATTAGCCGATTATTGAATAAATTCATCTGGTAATTGATTGACTAGTTAGTAGTAGAATTAGAAAAGTTGAACTCTACGTTTTAAATCATTACGTTTCCATTCAGGAAGGCGATAAAATGCTGTTCGAGATAAAGCAAATACTTGTTGAAATTCTTCATCGGACAAATGTGTCTACAAAGCAAAAACAATAATGATAATAATAACAGAAACTGATCAAAGTGCAGTGTGACGGTGGACTAACAGACACTCAACTCTGACTATTTATTTAAGCGGTCTCTTTTCTTGTAGTCTTGATTTATATATTCTAAACTCACTGAGTGTTTGAAGTTGATTCTGAATTTGTTTTTAATTCTCGGTCATGATTCGTGTATTCGATATGACATGATCTTGTCAATTGTCTGAGTATTCATCAGTTTTCTAATCGGATTAGTATAGTTAACCATAGATAGAAAGTTATTTTAAACTTTTTTAAACATTATATCAAAAACACAAATTAGATCATTTCAGTGTGTTATAATCACAATTATTGATGCTGGTAATAATGAAATATACAGTCGATGAAGTACAGATAAAACATTAGTTAAATATCTGGTATTGAATTAGATTGAACATACAAACCATTGGATACCTAAAAGTTTTAGAACACTTATTGAGAGGCCAGAAAGTCATGGGGTTTGACCCTACTTAATATTACTTCAAATTTTAACATTGATAAATGGATCATTCATAATGTTTCATTTCTAATCATTAACCAAATAAATTATTTATTTCATTGTTCTTACTTTGATTGGTAGACAACATTTATTGCACGGAAATAATAATCAGTCGAATTAGCACGAGCTTAATCATTATCACAGAAAAAGATTATATATATACATATATGTCTGGCGTATATATGTATCAGGTCAATTATCTGAAACTTCATATCGCTTTTTCTCTCTCTCTCTCATTCTATGTTTTCCTTTCTCCACTTTGCCATTTACTTTGATTTGTATTTTGTTGTTGTGATTCTCACGTCTACTTTATTTTCTCGTTTCATTTATTCGAATCTTTTTTTGAAATTCGCTTTTAACATTCAATGGTGAGTCATTTCGAATAATCATGATAATGAGTAAAATGCGACGTTTCAGTGTATGTCGATGCATAATTCATTTGATGACCAATTGTAATCATAATTTTTAGCATTTAATAAAAATTCTCTCACTATGAAAAGTTTATTTATTTCCTAACTGTGGGGAGAAGAATAAATTTTCACGTATAATGAATTCAACTACTGGAAACCAAGATTTACTGATACATGTATTTCGTTCTAATTTTAAACTTGTCAACTGTATCCACTGATTACTCCGACTACAAGAATCAAGCATAACACTTTTAGATATTGTAGGATAAATACACCTAAATAATTTATATGTATGTTGTTTACTAATTATAAGTTACATATCATACTACTACAACTACTAATAATAGTAGTAGGCAAATTTATCTCAAACTTTATCTTATCTAATTTAAAATAACGATAAAAAGTAAAATTAAAAACAACTATGAATGCTAAAGATTCTTACAGATGTTGGACCATGTGTCACTGCTTCATTTCTTAATTGTGATTCTGTTTTCTGTATTTTGTAACTTAAGTCATTTTGCTATCATCATGCAACGTAAATCAAATAAACAATGTTAACGTTACATTATTAAGAGCATGTCAACGTTTATACACTGTTTATGTCTATTTAGATTTAAAGTAATGTGTTTGTTAGTGGATGAAAATCAATTTTGAAATCATTGTATTACGTTACAGGCTCTACTCATTACTGATGCTACTGAAATATCTAGTGATAAGTTATGACGACTGATGGAGTTCCAAAATACTAGGTAGAAAAAAACTGTTTACTAATTCCTATTTTGAAGCTAAGATCTATTCGTGATTTAATCTATGACAATTCTACACTTTACTCAAATACTTCTCAATTAAATATTAGAGAAAAAGTCAAACAATTTACCTCTACAGCGTTACGATCAATTCCTTTGGGATAAATCCCTTTATATTCTTTGAGTTTTTCATATGATATCAGCTAAAAAGAAGAAATTTATAGATGTATTCCAGTGGAGAATTTTTTAAATTAAATAACGAAACAAGCAAACTAAAATATATTCGAATGTGAAAGTCAGCGGCCATCTGGACTTAGTTGCTGAGATCACTCGACTGTAGCAGCTACCTTGAAGTGGTGGGCGAGCTTGATTATCCTGATGACATAACCGAGCCGTATCGGCTAGAACATATGTTCCTTTAGGTTCTGTCATGCCCGGAAGGTCGATTGGAGAATTTTAAGATTAAAAGCAGCAACTTAACGTCTGAGGGCGAATTCGTACTGCTGACTGTAAAGCGTTGTGACAGCAGTAATGTCTTTCTCTCATAAAACCAGCATCTGCGGCGATACTGCCTTCTCACTTGCATCACTTATAGGGTAATCGAGATATCCATCTATCGACCGAAGGACCTGTATAATGCACATCAGTTCGTTCCATCCTACTCCATGGCTGTGAAACATGGCTAGTAAGAGTATAGGATATTGGTAGGTTACTAGTACTCGATCATAGGTGTGTCTTCGAAGCATTGCTCGTGTATCGTGGGACAACCGAGTAAGCAATGCTGCCATTTGGTAACGAGTACTAGGTAAGGATGGAAGATCAATTGACAAAGTAGTGAAATTTCATCGATTGAAGTGGTTGGGAAACGTGTTGCGTTTGCCTAACCACCGACTGCCTCGATGAGCAATGTTATCCGAGGTAGTGTGATCGGCTAGAAGAAAGCTAGGTGCGACCAGACCAAAACATTGCACAAATCCATGAAGTCATTGACAAGTGGATTGAGTCATGTTGTTGGATGTAAACTAGCTGGTTGGGGTCCGCGAGACGATACTAACCAATGGTTACGGACCTTGAACGATATGGGTCGGAATCGTTTGCAATGGCACCGATGCATCCATTGTTTGTGTTCTCTCAAATTCTAATCTTCTGAATTCCTCATGACCTGTTTTCTCCCTTTAAATTTACCTAACTGGACTATATTTCTCACATCATATGCTCGATCTCTAGTGTTCTCTATTACATTGAATTCCTCTATTTCTACTACCTCTACTACTATGGGATTTGAATTGACAATTGCTTCTTTGTGGTAATGTGGTATGGCGAGTTAAAATGATGTATGTACGTACGAAGCTTTAGGTTGTTGATGACTGACCGAAATAAGACCAAACGTGTTTCCTGGATTCCACTGCTAGCTACCATTCAAGTATACTTAAAATGATTGTGACTTAATAGCCAGATGCACATATTATAAAAGAGATCGATAAATTTTGGTTAATTCGACTGGAAGATTTAAGCAGCCAAAAAACTATGTATTTCATAAACAGTAGGATTATTGAACCATACAAACTTATCATAGGTGAAAGATAGCTCACTTATTGTTTGTCTTGTGTGTAGACAGTTAGTTATACAATGACTCAATAACGGCTTCCTTAATTTTTAAAAATTTTCTATTTCTGAACTCTGGATAGAAAACAGAAGGCAGGAAGTACATAGAGTTTTATTTCGAAGTTTAGATTTTGTACAGAAAACAAAAATACATATATGACTTAAGTTGTTTGTGTCTGAATACAAGTGTTAACAACTATAGTAAAGCTTTGAGTAAAAAGAAACTCATGTCTTAGATTGTAAGTTGGATTGGTGAAATAGTGATTAAGGTATTTAACTTTGAAACATTAAGTTGCATGTTCGTACACCGTGACAACTACTTTTGTTTAGAACTCTGGATAATACCACTTACCCTCACAATTAGAGTATGATATAAAGTTAGATGTGTGAATGATTTCGCCCAATATTTATATAAATATCTTGAAATAAATTCGACAATAAACATACCAACATATATATATATATATATATATATATATATTCATCGACTGTATAACTTATAACGAACTTACTTGAGGTATAGGTGGTGATCGTTTATGAAATATAGAACTTGGTGATGATGATGTTAACAGAACACTAGGATGACTTGGACTGGATCCAATCAGACGACGATCAATATCAAAATCTTTACTATTAATTGAATCTATCAGATTATATTGTTGTAAATATGATGATGATGAATGACCATTGGAAATGGCTGTTTCAGTACTACTACTACCACCACTGTTGTGTTTAATTTCAATCAATTTATTATTATTATTATTAGTATGTATTGATGCATTAAAATGATCGGATGTTGATGAATAAATTCGCATTGAATCAATGGTAGTTGATTGAGTATCTTCTGGTTTGTTTTTTCGTAAATTACCGTTCAACAGTTTCGCTGTGATAGAAATAATAATAATAATAATAATAGAATGAAATATGCGTCCTAGATTTACACTACATAACTAATAATAATAATAATAATAATAAATTCACAGTTTAACTAAACAAGGAATAAATATCGAAAAGTGATTTAACAGTTGCTTTCTCTCAGGATAAAATTCCTCCAAAAGGAAGTGAACACTGAAGATTCCATTGAAGATCGAATTCAACAACTATTGACACCATTATTTAATGATTTAAAATATTTAACTAGCATGAAACAAAATGCATCATAACATTTTTTAATAGTTCATCTAATTACGATCAATTAATGATATAAAATTAGACAATTCAATCATTCTCTGTTAGTAATCATAATTATTATAATAATATTATAATGACATATGATTGAAGCAATCGAAATAATTAAACAAACAGATTGATCGGTTAAAACCTACTTTCATTATTAACATTGAATTGATGATAATGAGAATGATCATTCAATGTAACACCTTTGGATTTATTGAATAATATTCTATTTGTTGATTGTTGTCCAATCTCACCATTGCCAATTGAAAAAGACGAAGTTGAATAATTCACTGGTAATGTTGTACTCTTTAATTGACTATTATTATTAGCACAATATAATTGACCACCAGTGTAACCAGGTTTAATTGAACTGCCTATTTTATTTATATACAATAATAATAATAATGATAATAAAAGTACATAATATTTCACAATAATGCTAAAAGATTATATTACTGTCTGATTAACTGCTGGATTATTGAATACTAATCAAATATAATACTTGTTTAGTTCTTTTAATGTGACAATTGAATTCAGTCTTTGATCAAGTTGTAATATGTCCACCATGAGACTTCAGCAGTGTACAATGTACTTAGAATGAATTAAATTGTGCAATAATTTATGTTATTAATTGTTGATTCTTTCTTTGATGAATCCATTTTTATACTATACTTCAACAGTATCATTTGCTATCACCTGATCGATTGTTATTGCGATAGTTTTTCAAACCTTGCTATCTGTTTCTAAATTATTGAATGTTGATTTCCCAATTTAACTTTTGTGCGGAATATAAAATTACCCTGAAAGTTCCGTCTTCTCTATTAATATGCGAATTATTGATGTTGATGTGTTTATTTGTGATATGCATCTTATCTGTTCGAGTCCAGAAGAATATTATAACGACTTAAATTCAATTCTAAGTAAGAATGCGTTAGTGAAGTAAATAATATCAAATAATTATTAAAGTGAAAAGCGGAAGAGTAAAAACTATTGTAAAATAATAAATCATTCAACTTTCAACCGTAAGGTTGAAGGTCTGAACCCCATTTATCCAGGAAATTTAAGTCTAAGTAGAGAGGTTTAGTATTAACAGTTCACAAAAATGATGTAGCCTAAAAATAACTGCATCGTGGATTATTTTACTTAAATGACTATTGAAAACCAGGAAGCAATAAATCATCTGTTGTCAGTATGGGACTCCTCATCAATGAACATTAGTGACCACAACAAGATTTGAACCTGACTCGTTCAAGTTTCGCTTAACTTTCACACCACTAACTCGATACCCATAAGTTGAATTCTTAGCATCGTGCAATAACAATTCAGCACCACTGTTCAGTAACTATCTAGCAGCCGAAATAACTGAAATTCAGTAGTCATGTCATTTCACTAGGACTCTACAAATTACATTCTGAAACTAGTCACTGTTAGGCCTAAGTCAAATACTACTTTAAGAGCTTGTTAAAGTTTACAGTCATTTAGTTTCACATTAGGATGAAACAGCTGTTCAACGCTTCTTGATTTTTTACCGATTTCTATAAAAAAAGTTGAGTTACGGCAAGATAGGCTCGTCAGTTGATATGCTCGAAACTATTACGAGTTCACCTTACTCGGTAAACGAAACGAAGATCAACGATACACTGACGCAATAGGCTATTCTTATCCGATTGTCCCAGGCCCCACTAAATAAAGGCGTAGAGAATGTATTCTTCACGAACCCACTAAATTCGAGGTTGTGAAGCACACAAATCAAGCTTATTTATAGAATGGTAGAAACGCCCTTGGAAGAGCCACAAATTAGCGTACTAAAATAATACGTCCACCAATGACAGTCAAGGATTTTCCGAGTGGGAAATGTAAGCTAAAGGTCAACTCAGCGTCTCTGGCGCGAAAACATAGTATTTCAAAATTTCAGAATCAAATTACAAATTATGACCCTTTCCAAGTGAGTTCTGGGGATCTAACGTCCCCAAAACTCCTCCCCTTTTTAATAGTGTACGTTCCTGGGGTCGACTTGCTTCTCGGCTATTGTTCGCTGCCATCGGAGAGGCCACATTCTGAAACGTAGATCAGCTTGTTGTTGAGCTTTTTCTTGTGGTGCGACTACCGGTAAATTCAAGTTATCCAGCAGGAGGTCAAGGGGAAGATACACTTCTCTTGATGGGCGATCTGGGGCTAGCCGTTTGCGTATCTGGATCCGATGGTGTGACCATCTATCGCCTCCTACCTCTACTTCGTATATAACACGGCACACTTTTCGGACCACTTGCGCTTCTGTCCATGGACCATGGGTTGCTCGGTAGTCACGGACAAACACGGGACATTCGTCTTCGTACATCGATTACTTTACAGACTTTGTCTGTACTTGGAAATAATTGCCGACAAAAAATCGTAGAACAATACTGGTCACAACATGAGTTTAGATAAATACTAATCAATTATATTCACGTATCAACACATACATTCGACCATATATATATATATATATATATATATATATACAAAATCTTGTAGAACTTTATCTATTGAGACGAATTACACTAAAACCAATTGTTGTGTATTGTTAAACTTTATCGAATAATTTGTTTATTAATTAAACAATTCATTCTGATGAATCAATGGTAACGTTAGTAACAATAGGTAGTTTGTTTACAAATAGTGAATAAAGTTATGGAAAACTATTTATTCATAAAATGAAGACAAACTATTCAAATGAACTGGACTAAGTAGATTTTCGGAAATTGTTTTTATTTGAAAATGTAGTATTTCAAATGGACTGACTGTTTTCTTAGTTAGGATAATGATAAAAATCAAACGGGACTGAAGAGCTGTATTATTCCAAAATAGGACTATTCAATAGGTGGGCACTTGACATTAGACGGTTAATATTTTCTATAGTGAATTTATTGAAGTTGACAATGAGTACAATTCAACCTCAAATTAGTGGTTTAATGATTAAGTGTATGTTGCGACATCTCAAAGTCTTGAGTTTTGCTTCCTGATGATTATGTGTGCACATTGATGCTAGTGAAGTCGTACATTAGAACAAAATAACAGTTCTTTGTTAGTTGAATAAATGTTTAATTTATCTGATTAGATCATTAAACAGATATTGTTGTTGTTATGTTAAAATTTTGACAAAAATTTGACAGATGAAATTAGGAACAAACAAATAAATATAATACCAAAGGATTCTTTTTAGACTATAGTGTTTTATTGTTGTTACATAAGATGTTCATTTTTGGGTAGATGGTAAACTGAAAGGTAACATTATTGTCAATTTGCTCAAACTTCATTGCTGATTGGTTTCAATCCAATAAAATGGTAAACTATGATAGATAGGAGACTTTTAGATGAGATTCATTTTATAAGCTAGACGTTTTCACTGCAAAGCTTTCGTTCTCGTTTCGAACAAATTAGTTAGAGATTTTTATTTATTCAATTCACGCAAGGTTTGAATCAACTGAGCAGCAACAAATAGTAGGATACTATCCAGAAGCAAGCAATTTTTCTAGGTGGTTACTCCATGAATTTTTGATTTAAAATCTTTATCAATAAATAAGGTAGTAGAGATACCTTCTCATGATAACCGACAGTCAAAAAACAGTTCATATGCCATTTACTCCCAGTGTGGATGTTCACATTAGAACTAAAATTTAATATCATTATTCCATATGCCAGTATATAATTTACTGAGCCTTTGAATTCAGATAATTACTAACTTTCTTATGGAATATGATTTAAATGATAACAGTAAATAATCAGTCTGGTGAATAGATAAAATAATTTTCAATAATAAATATACAAGTTGTAATTTAAGTGTTTATTGACAATAAGGCTTTAAAAGAAGTAGATAAATATTATTAAGTTTATGAATTCAATAGAATGTCGATTATCGATATTTAACAGATAAACTATAAGTTTTCCAAATGAGAAATAAATAGTTTAATCTCATATATTGAAAATAAGATGATATCTTGAGAACAGTTTGAATACAGTGGATTTTTAATAAATTGTCTCTTCACTTGTTCGGTGTAATATATTCATATTCTGATTGATTGTTACGACTCAATCAAAAGGTATACTTTTAATTTTGAGAGTATTGATACTTCCTATAGCATTTTAACTCATGTCAACCAATTTTAATGGTCAGAAGAAGAACAAATAATTTGTTTGGGCTCATGACTGACAGGACAGGAATATTTATACTAAATAATCACTGTTAAGATTGTTTATCCACTCTCATACTTCATGCCTTATCTCTTGTGTTCAAGTTGCACTGTAGTTTTAATCTGAGGTTATTAGGAGTGGATGGATGACAAAATCAGATTTAGCATCTATCAAGCAGACTCATTAATCTTAAAGCGCAAAGAGATTTTCATAGGTGAAATCACAAACTCATATAGGATAGATTACCATTAGAAACCTGGAAGCAATGAACGGCTGTTTCATCTTGGTTTGATACTACCGTTCAGCAGTGCATATCAACAACAACGATACATGAGCCATGGGTCCGCAAATCACCTTCATTAAAAAAAGATGTCAATTTATAATTAAACTAGCAAGTGTAGATGTATTCACTATTTCTCTTGCACTACACTCTTACATACAATATTCCTTCTCAAAGTGTAATCTTCCTGCATTATCATTACTAATAAAATTATTGATCCTTTTAATTTCTACTCGTTGTATGGTATCTTGGGTTATTGGACATTTCATACCAGACTATATAATAAATAATGACTGACTAGTAGTTAGGCACCAAAGTTTTTTATTTTGAAAAGTGAAAAGAAAATTATGCAGTAAGAGACAAATTCATATACATACATACATACATACATACATACATAGGTAAATATGATAGACTAGATAAATTACATATCTACAGTATAAATATTAAAAATCAACGTTGACATATTTGACAAGTTTCACGAGTATTCTTCAGTACACGCAAGTTTTTCTTGTATAAAAAACAGACAGAGAATAAAACAGTACGATAATAATAAGCCTAGTATATACTTTGATTTCTTTTTTTTTTTTACTTGAAATGAATGAAACTATTCAGAGCAAATATATTTGTATTGGTAGTTTGAATCTTTGCATTAATAATTAGAATTGTTATAGACTAATCTCATTTGACATATATGTATGCATCGTCAGCGGATTATCTCGATAGAGCCATAAGATAACAAACATTATCAGAAGATGTGGATAGTGGCTGGTATTGAAATGTAGGAGGCACATTTTATCCTATTCGGGAATTGTCAGCTGGATGTTTCTGTATTTGGGAGTTAATGTTCACTCTGGGACTCGAACTCAGTATTGTTCATTTCAAACGCTAGTGCAAAAGCCAATGGCCGTCTGGATTTAGTAGCTAAGTGAATAACACGGTTACACGTCACAATTAATCAATGTTTACAGTTCTTTTACGTTAATCAAACAAAGTGTTTGCAGTTTTTCGGCGACTGATTAATCTCCCTTTTAAAATCGCTCAAATTTCTATATCATAAGTATGTATGTACCTTATTAATTGAAAGGAATTATGATAATTGGATTGTAGAACATCTATGATTCTATGCTAATTGACTACTCATAAAACACCGAAAAATAGGACAAATATTTTTTGAATCATTTAAAACAACAAACTACACACTGAAACATTGAATGAATTTTTAGTATTTTTCACCTACAACTTCATATTATTAGAATAAATAATCATAAGAAACTTAATTAATTCATTTTACTTAAGGAGTATGCAAAAAATAGGTGAAAACTATCATCTTATTATTTATTCATGCATTTATGTATTGATGTATATTGAATAACCGATTTCAGTTTATATATATATATATATATATATATATATATGATAAATAATAAAAATACACATTCTAACCAATGATATATGATGTATATTATATGACAAAACAATATCATATTGATGCTGGTTTATATATTTGATATGATTAGACAAGAATCAATCATCGGAGAGTAAGTAATTTGCACATATAATGTTATTTGCTTGTTAATCTTTTATACACTTACTAGATAAGAAATGATTATTTTTTTTAAAATAGTGTTAAATTATCATTGTTCACTTAAGAATTTGAGTTTAGAGTTTATATTTGAACTCATAAGAATTGATCAGCCGGCCATATTCAATTATTATTTCAACATATTCTTTGTATTCTGAAATTTGGACTTACTCATAACCTAATGTTTTATATACGATTCTCATAGTGGGAGCTGACTATTGTATTCTGGACTCAACGGGCAAGACAGGATTGAAACTATTGAATACAGTACCAATAAGAAATGTAGCAGTGACTCAATGCTTCGAATGTTGGTTGGTGTGCTTTTTGTTAGCTTAGAGACATATTCACAGAATTAGATATTCTCATTGGTGTTTTATTTCTGTCATGTGATATCAATCGACAGTTAAAGACACAACCTGTTTCTTATTAGAGTATGTCATTGTTTGAATAATCAGTTGGGATTCCATAAAATACATATCCGATTGAAATCATTTGACGATATATATTATAATAATAATCACATCAACATCGTTGAATTTCTAACACCATTATGTTCCATTCTAGAAGTATCAAATATCAGTCTAGAAGCTATTTATTAGTTAGTACACAGTTATATATTGATTATTATTTGAAATGTCATGGAAAAAAGTTCTATATTGATTTATTTTTGAGCAAATTAGTTTGTTTTTGATTTAACTCCTCATTGGACCTTTTTTCTTACAGTGTAATCTTTCAATAAGAGTATGAAGTAGATTTGATAGAGCCGACATCGTTGATCATAATAATTCATTATTTCAAAGAGAATAATTCCACACGAGTTTTCATGGGAAACCAAATACTTATACTGGTGCATAGCATGGCTGAATACTATGAGGGAAACTACACAGTCGCCAACATACCAGACAATCTAAAGGTTTACAATAATAACATCATAGTAACTAAAGTGTACATCTTTGTCGTATTTACAGTTTCGTTTCACTGTGAACGTTACACACCGACAAATATTTATAAATCCAACTAAAAGTTAACAATGATTCATACAAATACGAATATTTGAAAGAAAAAAAAAGAAACACAACTCTCACTCATTCTCGTTCCAACCCACACACCCATACAGACACACAGATTTTGTATTTTACTCTATCATTTATTTATGTTAAAAAATCATTGTCTACATAAATAAGAATAATGATGATGATGATGATGATTCAGTAGACGAGAACTATCTCTCATTTCTCACTTTATTTATGATTGTGATTATTATTAATATTATTGTTGTTTTTTCTTTCATTTAAGATTTAGTCTGTTCTGTTATTGTTTTTTGAAATTGAAAATGTCAACTAGATAGATAGATTAACCAGCATATTTTAAAACAAGCAGAATAAAATAAAACATTAAACAGAAGAGGAAACATGAGATAATAATACATGATGTTTACTTTGCTTTGTTTGTTTGTTTGTTGTTTGGTATACCAGATACAGTCTGGTGTTGATTCGAAATACCTTATTTAACATTTTGTAATTTTATCACAACAAAAAATGTATAATACGGTAATGCTAGATTGATATTTTTCATGTTAATAAAACAATCAAATGAATAGTTAAAGATTATGGTATACAATGTACTACTACTACTACTACTCCTACTCATGGTTATCACAATAATTATTGATTTTTTAATTTATTAAAATTGAATTTTAAGGTAATTATACATCCAGCCTCCGATCAGCAATCGAAGCAGAAAATGTCAGGATAGAAGGTGAACACTTAGGCTTCACATCAGTGAAGGCGATTATTTACATGCATTAGTGATAGTTATCCTGATTTCGATTCCTAACTAACAAATATCGAGGAGCATTATATTACAAAGAAGCAGATGCACATTAATTAATTCCTAGCTTTAGATGGTTGTGGAGAAAGTCAGCACGTGATGCAGAGGGCGTACAAATTAATCAACATAAACCTTCTACACTAATAATAATCATGTTCTTACCAATGCATAACTTTAAGAGGTGCATCCCGCAATTCTAGCCTAACTAATATAATTCGAATATATCGGTTGTAAAGTTGAATTAGACTTTTTGATTTTTAAGTTTACAATTTCATCAATCAAGTTATAATGATGTAAAAAATATATCGAAGAAACTAAATTGGCATCCAGTGATACGCATCTTTAACTTCAGTCAGTCCACGATATTAAGCGACTATTTGCCATTAACTGCAGCGGATAGCTGTCTTATATTTGATGTAGTTTATAGGCGAAGAGTTCAAGCGAGATCAAACTTCCGGAATTCAATCCCCTCGGGCAAGTTGATAGGTGTATACAGTACAAAAACGTCGCATACTGAAACGAAACAGCTGTTCAGTGTGTACTGACTTCCAATGATTGTCTAACGAATTTCAATCCGTTCGGGATGTAAATGATAAAAATCCTATAATCTCCACAAAAACCTGTGCTAATAATCTTTCTAGAAGAAAAAGAAGCAACTATAATAACAAAAACTCACTTACTTAATAAAAATACATCCATTTAGTACTCTAAATTTCATAATTATTGTATCTGTGTCTGTAGTTTGACATGGTTTACAATTTGTCTACAATATGGATGATTAGACGATGTCACTTAAGGTGAAACAAGATCAATGCGATTTGAAGAGCTCAACAAGTAATCTCTCCGCAATATTTCAATAATAATAATAATAATTCACCAAGTGAAAAGAATTAAAAAATCCACAAAAAACTAATTATTTCAAGAGTTTAAATTTCTAATACAACAACTCAGTCGACATAGCAACAAGTATGACTTTGCAGGTTTCAACGTACATAGCAAAGCCAAAAGTTTAAGTAACCAATCACATTACGATTAAGACCACTGAGGTTGTATGAATTGAGAAAAGTTCACAAGAATTTCTCAATAAACCAGAACTACCTGATTTGTTAACAAATATAAAAAAAGAAATTCGATCTTATTGCCTCAATTGATTCAATCAACTTCATTGGAAGAAGTATTCATTTCTCCTAAGTATTCATATCATATGCATACGAAATGAATTTGTTCCTGAATTATTTTTATTAATTATCTGAATAGTTCAATCGATTATATTTCTATATTATTTATTGTCTTATAATTAATTAAAACAACAATAAATTCTTAGAAAAAAATAAAATAAAATTTGACTAGTAGTAAGTAACCTGTCAACATGTGACAATGATGAGAGAAAATGCAAAAGCTATGCCTATAATGGAATTAAAAAAGTAGAAGATAAATTTTTCCTTCAAAATTTAAGAGAAGATAAATAGAGACTATATATATATATATATATATATATATATATATATATATGTTATTGTAATCAATTTCCAAACTCATATCATCGAACATCCTAAACCTTTAGTTATGTTATCATAAACCACATAGTTCATATTTACTTACAGTTGTTGATTTAATGAACCAATATTACATCTTAATTTATCTTTCCTAGTTTTCTTTTTCTTCTTCTTCCAAACTTCTTTTATACATCAGTGTACAAATCATACATTGTTCGTAAATTACAGCAAAAATTAATAATAAACCTTGTATTTAAACATGACATCGTTTCAAACATTCTAAATGTATTTTATTTTAATACTGTTAATTAATAATCAATGTATATACTGTTGTGAAATAACAAATTAATATGTGAACATTAAAATAAAATCATAATTTAAATTTTAAAATGATATCAACAGAGTGTGAGCTAATCAGAAGTAGTCTATTGAGAAGTTCATTAAGTGACTATCAGTAACGTCCTAAAAGATGAATGTATATAATCATCGTTCAAGAAATGTATTCATTTTCTAAGAGGGAAGATTGTTCATATATATGTGTGTTTACGATTCAGTAGATACATAGACTTTCTCATCCAGAAGTCAGTTTTCTTTTGGAGGCATAAGGGAAGTATCTAAGACACCAAACACTATAGCATGCATCGCAAACGAATACCAAACATAGAAAATTATTACTTACCAAGATTGAAAACTGGTGTGTTAGTATTATGTCGTGATACGTTATATTGAGGATGATGATGAAGATCCGTAGGAATATTCAATGCTGTTGTTGTTCCGGTACTGATCGAACTAGTGATTGTATCACGATTTGTTACTGAACAAACAAATGAAATAACAAAGAAAAAGGTTGGTAAACAATGTCTCATATATATAATGTTATATAATTCGATAAAAATATGAGGTGAATAACGTCTAAAAAATTAAGGAAATCTTAATAAATGGTGACAATTTCCTATTGTAAATATTCATGATTGTAGTTGATTATTCTTTAATGGTAGAAATGTATCTTGAGTGCATTGATCTAATGTAATCAACAATCTATCAATGTTAGGCCACCATTGAAAACTTGGAAGCACTGAACAGCCGTTTCGTCAGCAGAGCGATACACGACTCCGCAAACGAGAGTCAAACCCAAGACCAACGCCTAACCCCTAGATTATTGAGCTGGCATCCAACGGTGTTAATGTCCGTATCCCGGATGTGACAAGTAGATACAAAAGAAATACACCAAAATTAGGGATAATATTCAAAAGATAAAATTATAATTTTTTTAGAATCGAAGATAGTAGTGGTTTATTTTGTTGATATTCTAAAAGTGGATGTTCGTACTAAAACATATGCTAATTGCTTATCTATTCCAAGAGATTAAATAATTATCCGCTAAGGTAGTAAGTTCAAAAAAAACAGTAAGATGTTCAACAAGAATGATATTTTCTATTCATCAATGTTAATGTTCTAGATTAAATGCTGAGTAATCTTTCTGTTGGCTACCAGTTCAAACATGTCAACTAGATGCAACGTAGAACTTCGTACGTAAGTACATCAGTTCAAGTTGCCATACCACATTAGCGCAGAGGTGTGATTGTCAATTCAAATCCAATAGTAGTAGAGGTAGTAAAGGTATTAGAAGTAATCGAAGAGGTTAGGATTAGAAGATATTATTCAAGAAGTATGATTCAGTGAGATAAGTTTAGAAAGACAAAACTAGAGGGGTTGAAGAATCTAGAAGATTAGGATTTGAGAGAATACAAAGAATAAATGCGCTGGCGCCATTGCAAACGGTTTGGAGCCATGTCATTCAGGGTCTCTAACCATCGATTACCATAATCTCGCGGATCCCAACCAGGTAGTCGACAACTACCGACATGACTCAGTACACTTGTCAATGACTTCATGGATTGCTGCCATGTTTTGGTCTGGCCGCCCCAAACTTTCAGTGCTTCTTTATTTTGACAAGGTGAAATCAGATTAATAATTTTACTAGGATCCTGTATGCGCGTTTCTGAGACGCAGCATACATCGATGACACGAGATTCTAAAGTCCTAGCTTAGGAAGCCTGTTGCCCTATTTGACACAATGTCCGTACAATAAAAGCTCCAACATGTAGTCTAGAACGGGGTTTCAACAGACCAGGAATGATGTTTCGTGAACTCGCTTCATTTGCATTAGTGGTGCAGTGAGATAAGGGAATGTGAGTAGAGTTAGTTGTGGAGAGAAGAGAGGTATGTGTGAGTGTAGGAAGGATTTGATTGTGACCAATTTGATCTGATGTGCTGTTACGGGTATGATGGCGGTTGTCCCTTCCCGGCTGCCTACACCGTGGAAGAGTTCAAACGTGCAGATGACTACATTTTTTTTTAAAAAAAGTATTCTTTTACTGCTATTCAATATTTTCTTAATTTCAGTTTGTTTTAACTAATTAATTATAACTATTAGATGTTTATAAATTACTTATCTTTATAAAATATTTACAATCTATTATGAATTTCATTATTTAGAGATTTCATATCAATATTATCAAATACAGTGATTTGAGTGTTTTCATCTATTTATACTTTGTTTTTTTGAAGAAGAAGAAAAAAACATACAATTATTACAGAATCTATACATTCAATGTATACAGAAATAATTTTATTATTCATGTAATAAATTGAGGGAGAGTGATAATTTCTTTTTCATTTTTTTTTTTGATTGTTTAAACGGTATCGAAGTATGAGTTGAATAGATTTATTGATTAGATAACATTTTCTAGAATGCGATTTTTATTTCATGGTTTCACTGATTAAAACAACAATTGTTAAAAGTTTTTACAACTGAATTACATACATTGACTATCTCTTACTTATTAAACTAATGTCATAAAGTTGAAATGAACATTGAGTGTCAAAAAAATAATCCTTTTTAAAATTTAGACGAGTTAAATTTTCGAGTTGATTATTTTTTTTCTTTATTAGCATGTATTGTCTATAATTCTTAATTTTTATATGAAAAAAAAAAACAAACAGTGTAAAATGAATTCCAAATGGAAATCATAAAATACACGCATAAGCGAGTATTGTTTACAATTATACGATGTTTCACTCTCATTTACTACGATGCAAAGACTAAGAGTAAAGCCTGAAAACGATATTATTCGCCTATGTTGTTCGAAACAATAGTTGTTTGAGTTTCGTTTTTAACTGGAAATTATCCATGACAAAATTTCAAATCCTATCAATTATATACTTTCTTTGAAATACTCCGTCACCTGACCCGTTCATGTGAAAGCAGTTGTCAAATCCTTGTTTTCCGTAAGGGGTTGTGGTGATTGGTGAACACCATTGAAAATCTGAAAGTATTGAACAGCTGTTCTATCTTAGTAAGGGACCCCTCAGAAACGCGTCCACTCACCCCATATTCTGCAATCAAACTCAAGATATTCAATTTCAACAGTAGAATGTGGTCATACAATATCGTATATTGACTGAAGTTAAGTGTTTACACTGACTTAGAGGTCATGCGCTAACTCAAGGGTCCTGGGCGCGATTTCCGAGTGCAGGGTCGAAGTTCCACGCTACTAGGGAGTCTCATGGAAAATATAAACTACTTTAAGATAAAACCAAGAACAAGTTATGCACAGTCGGTGTTTTAAAATATACATATATCTCTAGTAATATTATGCCGGTAAGGACAAATACTAGCAGGGATTATATAACCAAATAAATTATTTTACCGATTCAATCAGCTTCACTAATTTGAACAATAAAAGTGTTAATGAGTTGAGCTGAATAGAAATCAACACTGAAATAGAGTAATGACCGGTTGAAAAGACTTAAATCAGATGAAACGTTTATAATTTCCACTAGTAGCCACTAACTAACTATGTTTCAAATTGTGATTGATTACAGTAACAAGGTAATCTTCTCAAGATGTATGTATATGCAAATAAGAGTTTGATCACTTCCAAACCTTAACACTATAAATGACTAGATTGAAGGAACCCTTAATACTGAGACGACTATTATTTTTCTGGCTTGTTTTATTATAATTAAATGAAAATTAATTAAAAAATTTACGACATATATGATACTACTTAACGATGACACATACGCTTATATACTAACTCACTGACACTAACTCTCTTTCATATCGATGCACACGAGAAAGATTGAAATATATATAACAGCTGAATACAAATATATGCCAACAAACGAACAAATGCACATATAACAAATACAGTAAAAGCTTTTAATAATTAACAGCTAACAACTAAATTGAGAAAATATTCAAGGAGCTCATTTATTAAGTGAGTAAAAAGTAATAGTAGGTAGTACATAACATTGGTGATAATAACGATAAGACAAGTGAGAACAAAACAACACATCACACAATACAAGTCATAGAAAATTTGAGATTAAATCAAAATACGTGAATTCTTCCGAATAACATGAGAGAACAAATTCTGTTTAATATCTTGTTTTGTTTTCTAGAAAGTTTTTTTCTGACTGTCTAAGAAACTAATCGCTATAATAACTATCTAATTTTAACTTAAACGGTGGGTTTATTGGTGCTGATCGATTTAAGAGTGCTTTGTCCACCTGTTTCGCTATTCTTTAATGTTGGTGATTACTTTACCTTCTTTGTTTTTCATTGGTTACTCTGATTTACGATAGTTTCCAGCAAGCTACTTTGTTGTATCATGTTTCCTTCTCTTGAAGATTTTTCTAACGCCATTGCTAGACAGTTCATATATTTCTGCTTATCAGCTCTAATGCTCCTCTTCACTTCCCTGTTTGCCTCTGTGTATTCATCCTGTGCCCTCGCTCTCGCTGCTTTTCTTCGGCTGTTATTGATTGCTTAGAACCCATTGCTGAGGATTATCACGAACTCGTGGAGTTTGCCGCATTACACATTTGTGATGTTGTTGGACTAGTTGTCCAGTGCTTTTTTAGTTTCAGTCTCATTTTCGCTAACAGTAGTTTAGTTATTTGACAATAATACAATAAGGATATATCTACAACAATAGTCGAGAGAACAATTTTGAGAATGATCATTTCTTCAGTACAGAATGATAAATACGACTTAATTGATTAATAATTAAGTAGTCATTAGGATTGTGTTTAAGTAATCCTTTGTGATTCTCAGTTCAGGTGACATGACGTCGTGTGTACTATGCTGAGATACCGATTGGCTGGATGTAGTTTTTGGAAAAAAAGTCGAAATTCATCAACTAGGTGTAACGGCTATCATGAGAGAATTAGTGCTCTCTGTGGGACTCCTATAGACTACTGTCAACTGCTTAATACATTGTATTTAAATCTTGAGTAGAGAACACAACTATGCACTGCAATGTTGTGTTTATCGATCAACATCACAATGATTATGATCATCGTCATCAATGGAATCCAATACTGTTAAGTGTAAGGCAGTTAGTTATCTACCGGTGCTGTTGAAAGATAATATTCAAAATGGCCAATGTATATCAGTGACTTGAAGATTTTAATCAAGATCACCAATAGGGACGTAGATATACACATTAATGAGGAATTTTGTACTATGATGAAGTATCCATTCGATATTTCTGTTTGCAATTGTAAACTAGATAAAAAAATAATTGCCTAAGTTGTAAGTTTAATTTTACACTGGATGATACATTAAACTATCGACACATTTTAATGCTACACACATACAAACACACACACACACACAGAAAACAAACTGAATTATTCCTGATAATCTATAGTCCTGTCAAAACTAATTCGTTGACAAAATAATAGAAAATAAATTTATAACATTGAATAGTTAGTTATTTTGTTTGTTTTCAATAAATACTAATCACAATAATCGAAATGCAATAGAAAAAAAGGGATCAAATACTCACTCATACCCTGATCATCATCATCATCATCATTATAACATTGTGTTTTTTTTCTTGCTTAGGATTTTCTATCATTTTTAAATTATTCGAATAAAATGAAAAATTTGATTTGGATAACATTTAAAATCAATCATTCATTATATGATAGATATGAAGAGAAAAAAAATAACAAAACAACTCAACACCAACAACAACAATCGATCAAAAAAAAAACTAAAAACAGGCAGTGCCAAATTTCAATATGATCAATCAATCAATCAATCAGTGTAATTAATCATTTTTCAGTGCATTTATTGTTCTTTCTGCTCTTGATCAATGATAAGATTTTGGAAGGGAATATTTTCATTGATTCTAATAACAAAATGATGGATTGTAATAATTTTTAGAGCATTCATTGAATATGAGTCTTTTTTGTTTATACAAGATAATTTGAAATTATTAAAACATATTACATTAAGCATATATATATAATTGAATAAATAGTAATTATTATATTTAAGGAAAAAATATACATGAAGACAAGATATAAATGATAATCATTTTATGATAAATAATTAAACTTAGAGTTATAAAGAATATTAATTCAAGACAAGATAAGTTGATAATATGAACTCTATCACGATTGTATAACTTTGATCGATTTTTTTAAATATTTTTATCAGTTTAAATTATATACTTGGTTAGTGAGTAAATTATGACAAGATATTATTTTTCAGCTGCGAAAACAAATGTAACCATTCATTTGACAGAAACCAACAACAATGTTTTCATTTAACGACTGCATTTTTTCTCTATATTTTTAGAAAAAAGTTTTGTAATTTAGATTTTTTACAAGGAAACTAGTGGATAATATGTTGAAGGTAGGTAAATAGCTAATTAACCTTTTCATAGTTGAAATCACAAACTCATCTAAGCTAGAACATTATTCGATATCTGAAAGAACTGGACGACCGCCTCATCTTAGTATGGAACTTATCAGTAGTGCGCAGCAACAACTCCGTGCGCGAACGCTTATCCTCAGAACCACTGAGTCAGTATCTGAATTGAACTTAGCTGATATCTGATGACAATAGTCAAACTGTAAATCCTGGAAATCTAAAGGTATCTTTAATTAAGAAACTTATACGACAAGGAGCTAAACAACCCAAAATTATCAACAATGGAATAAAACAAACTCTTATATCTAGTAAGTTGACATTTGATTTAATTTCTCTTCTCAATGGGCACAGTCGGATATAATAATAATAATAATAATAGTAAAGTAAAACACTAACAACTCACGATTACATTGATATGTTGACTATGAACCAGTACAATAGGAATAGAATTTGAGAATAACTCTTTCAAGATTTTTTTAAAATTTTATTGGTTAATATTCCTTTTGTAAGACTAGTTTAGCTGGATGTGCCTAGAGAGTAAATATGAACATCAACTGTAGAATAAGATAAATGCAATACAACATGAACCATATGGGGTGGAATGGTGATACTAGTCACATGTTAAATAAACTAAAAGATTGTAATATAATAATCATCGGAATAATTTACTTTCG